CGATTGCCCTTGTTTCGATATAAGAATACAAGATTCGGATCTACCCAAATCCGGACGGAAATGGCCTGTGTGTCTTAGCGGCAGATCTGCCAAGTGTAAACGAGTCTCTGCAGTCAACCGCGAACAACCCGAGAGGTCCGCCGCTTGCCAACTACTAGATTGCTGTTGTGACGTGCTGTTGTGACGTGGCCACACCACATGGGGAGCTATCGCTCACGAGAAGCACACACCAACGCGTACATGGCCTCTGTGCGGTACTGACACGATGTCTATCCATGTGAGACCTTGAATCGAGCCTCGTCCGACGGAAAGCCACCAATTCATCTGTGCATTTGATGTTCGACAACCCACGAGACATTGCCCCACAGACCAACACACCCCCACAAGGGGTATAAACACAAGTGAAGGGCGCACTTTTCGTTACACCGTGCTTGGTTGCTCACTCGCACATTAGAAATTTCTTGGTCAGGTTATTAGAGTATTTTCGGCCAGGTGCGCCCCGTGCTCAAAGGAACAAACAGTGGAAGGTGGTCCAGCTACTCCTTCAAGTTATATCAACACCAACACAACCGCCTGGAAGGAAAAAAAACATCAACAAGAACGCTCCCACATCAATTGAAACGCAATCACCGTGTAATGACACCTTACAGCAACGCTTCTCACTCACACAAATACTCGAACGCTTTTCTTAGCTGCTCCGCACTACTTGCCCTCATGGGCCAACCCATCAATCCATGAAAGTCGCTGTTCTCGGGCAATTCATAAAAAAGGCTACAATATCGACGTCGAACCACAATGCGCAAGGCAAGGAGATCGAGGTCGACATATTCGGAGCAAATCTTGCCCCGGTCGTGCTAACAATACAGTAGCACGGAAAAGGCGCCTGTTCCGCCGCCCTCAATCCTCGGGGACCCCAAACTCCATTCGGGTAGACAACACTTCTAAAAGGGCGAAAAACGAAGGTGCTTCGTTTGGAAAGATAATGGCTGTAGTAAAAACAACACGACACTGCTCCCCCCTCCCCCCCCCCCCAGTGCGCCTTCCCACTTCCCATGCATGGACTACAATATCAACACTCACAACAACAACGCGAATGCTACACAGCGCACCGTGTAATAGACAATGGACCAGGACCTCAGGGAAAACACAGGATTCTCCGAAAGGGCCGGCCCACAAATTTCGAAAAGAACCACGCAGCAGAGTAGCCAAGCACTTGTACGGAAATGGGACAAACAAAAAACACAAGACAACACAATCCACAATACCAAAGGATACCGCCCCGTCAACCCTAAGTACACCCCGCACAACACTTATTATCTGCTGGCCGTTCAAGGCGGCGCACCAATCCCGAACTTCTCCAACAGGACCGGGGGAAGCCACTCGCGACAAATGCCCTCTAATTGTTCCGCGACATCATGGCTGATCTCGTCCTCCCACGTCCGTTTTTCCGTGGCCTCTTTTCCGCCCGGGTGCTTGTCAACCCCCTTACCCGCAAACCCGTACTCTCGTCTTAGCGAGGTGTTTGTCGCCTGGAGAACCACGCCCGGCGGTGGAGTAAGTCCTACGGAAGACAGCCATCGCTGGTGCCACTGCAACGGATCAGCTAAGCTCTCGTCGTACGTGAACTCAACCGTCTTGCCGCCGAGTTTCTCGTGAAGAACCAGGTATCTCAAGTGAATGAAATGGCAGATGGTCGGCAGCATCCTCAAGACGAAGCTGTCCACGCTCTCGTCGGTCAAGTGTTTCCAGAAGGGGTGGTGGTGCGTCTTGAGGTGGAAGAACGAGCTGACAGCCACAGCCCGGGGGTCCCGCAATATCAGCATCTGGATGCGATCGTCTACGATACGGCAGGGGTGCTGCTGGAGGCATTCCACCGTGTCCGTGTAGTTCCCCACCCTCCTGCCGTTCACGGTGGTGCAACCCTTATTCTCAGGCGTGACGTTGTCCACGTGCTGCCAAGGGCAGCTTGGGGGCACTGGCAGGTCGTGCTTGAACAAGCTGGACACCATGATTGATACCCTAGCGGCGGCAGCAGGCGGTGCAGAGCGCAGAAGCAGGGGCGAAGAGTTAGAGGGGGTGGGGTTGGCGGTGATGGGAGTGGCACAGGTCCTCCAGCTGAGCTCGATTCTACAGTCTGTTACGATCCGATACCGGCGTTGAGGAAAGGAAGCTAAATGTAGCAGAGGAGAGAAAGGCCACAGCTACAATACAGTGACAAAGACACAGGCTTGCATCTGCAAGGACTCCAAGGTACTGGCGACGATACAATCGTGAAGTGGGGGTGTGAGTCCAGCCGCAAAAGAGCAAAAAGCACTCGTAGCGCCAAACCAAACTCCCAGCTAAGTCGAAACTCTCTCTCTCCTTCCCTCCCCCCTCCCCCTCTCTGTCTGTCTGTCTCTCTCTGTGTCTCTGTCTCTGTCTCGGTCTCTCTAAATATATCAATATTCCTCTTCCCCTCTCCCTCTGTCGAAAACCTCACTTGTCAACGGTCGAGCAGGGACAAGGGGAAGCAGAGGGACCTCCAGCAGAACTCCGACCGTGCTGCCGATTCGGTTTAAAGACAAAGAAGACTTCTTTCATGTCGACCAAAGCTGTCTCGGGGGAAACTGGCTTCTGCTTTCTTCGGGAGAAAAAGCCTCTCCACCTGAAGGTGCACGTGCCCTCCCCGTACAACCTCCCCAGTTCCTCACAAGTCACCATCAAAGCATTCACGGCCCACTCGAACATGAAGCTCGTGCCGGACTTGGGCTCCTTCACGGGAACGAATCGGCGGCGGTACGTTCCGCGAGATCCCGGGACGGCGCGGAGAGAGGAACACACACGAACGGTTGGTCAGTCTGGCTTCAGGCAACCGAGGTGCGAGGATGTTGAGGCAAACGAGCGAGAACAGACGAGACTACCTGCCTTGGGTACCTATACTATTTGTAGTACAGTAGTTGCAGGTGCCCGCACAGATGCGCGATCGTTTTGCCGTGACACCGAGGCGTGCTCACGTCTCTGTACAGCAAGACTGTAAGACTGTCGTGAACAGAAAGTCCATCGAACATACGTATATCTGTGCAGGTCGCAGTAGACGGTTGTGGCAAGATTTGCGTCTGAATCATGGTTAGGGTTGCTTAACCCTTACGTGACTGGGTTACTTCGATTTTTTTGGTTTTTTCCCCACAAGTGGCTCTCTGCGGTCAAAGATTTTCCAAGCATGCGTGTACACCCATAAATCACGGCGGCAAGGATGGTGCAGCAGTGGTTCCTTGTGTGGGGCTCACAGGGATGGGGACGCGGTATATGTAAGGGTGACGAACAGGAGTACAGTAGTACTACTGCTGTACAGCAGTAGCAGCTATGCGGAGAGAAATAGACTGTAGTACAGCAGCAGCAGTGTACAATTTCTGAGCAGGTGTGCATGCCTGTCTCCGACAGCAACCGTCCGAACAGAGGATGTGCCTGTGCAAGCAATACCTGTTGGCACATCTTCTCCACCTCATCCTTGGACAGAACATACGGGAAGCCCATATGCTTGCGGGGCTAGATGCGAAGACGCTGACGGGAAACCGCCTCACAGAAGCGCCAGATGACGAAAAAAACGGCCCGCTCATCAGAGAATCGAGACCATCATCCACTATCGCACAAAATGCATAAAAATCGTGATAAATCTTACTTTTAAGTACTACAAATAGAGAGCTGTGATCGGAGTTGTGATCGGAGCTGTGATCGGAGCTGTAGTCCCGAAAACCCTTGCCTTTGAGAGAAATTTTGCACAAAGCAGACGAACCACCCTTCACTCCCAATACTGGGAACCACACGCACCGCAATCACAACAACATCAAGCACCGAGGCAGTACGTTAGCATCGGCTCCGGTGTGCGCTTTCTCTGCTCTCCCCCGCGGATGCGGCACCGGGTTGATCACATGTATTCAGGGTGCTGTATGTACCCTCCGGTGGAATTTTGCGTTTGAATCTTACAGCAGCCGGTAGGCAGTAGATTGGATCTGGAAAGGATATCTGCCCCACGTCAGAGAGATTAGGCATGGGTGAACAGTATTGTATTATGTGAGTCCTGTGCGCATTGCTGATAAGCGTGCTTTTGGGGTGGACTGCCTGTGTCTCCCTGCTGGTCTCTTATGTATGTGTTTTGCTCTTAGCCGAGGCACAACGGTGATCTTTCGGCACGCAAAGTGATCGGAGCTGAGAACGGAGCTGAACCGGCCTGTAGTCACGTAAGGGTTAAGCTTTTCGCAATACCTATGCATACCTGGTATTAAATTCTGGAAGCCTCCTGCATGCTGGTGCACCACCATTTGCGCCTTCTACTTACCGTAAAAATGAAACGGACACACCTATTCTAACTCCCCCCTTCTGCACCACATGGCCGCTTCTGCATCTCAATTGTCTCTCACCCCGCGAAGTTGAAGCTCGACGTGTTGCTGCGCTCCGTTGAGCTTCCCGAACATGGTTTCACACGGGGGGCACTCATCCGCTTGCAGTTTACGCAACCCAGTGCTGCCTGTCTCCAAAGAGCTCCAGGCACCGCCGCTGCCCTTGCTGATGGAGAGTTGCTCGGGCAGTGATACGGCGATCGAAGCAGATGCGCGACGTCCGCCGGCAATCGGTGCAGACGTGGCACCACTGTTGTCGGTGGCCGCGAACCCCGTCGGCTGGGTTTGTCCTTGCCCAGGAGAAGCGGGCAGCAAGTCGCGGGGCACGTGCATGGTAAAGACTACAAAAAAAGCGAGGGCTGCGGAGAAGAAGACCCTCGTCCGCGTAAAACGTCTCGAGCACCGTGCCGTCTGTTCCCCGTGCGTGATGCTGCTGTTGGGGTGGTGCTGTCGCCAGCCCCGAGACCAAGCGCGTGGTGCAATTCCCGTTCAACGAGGTCACCGTCGCCGGATGCACGTGGAGCACGAACAAAGGGTCGGCATTAGAGAAAGAAAAGGAAACGAAATCGTGCGCACCATTAGAAGAAGAAGAGGGCTTACCGCGGATGTATGGAAGGTGGGTGGCATGTTGGCGTCGGGGAACCAACATTGGGAGGATACTACTCACGAAACATAGGACCAAAAGGGGTAATGGGAAAAGCGGGGGTTATGACAGACCTTTCGCTTTCATGGATCGACCTTTTCCTACCTTGCGAGAGGCACTTCGCACACAATTTGGCGTGAACTCACCCCTTGGTGCCGTTAGATACACCGCTAGGAAGCTCGGTGCCTGGCACATCGTTTGATCAAGGCTGGTGTGTCGTTGTGGTTGGCGAGAAACAGCGAGGTGATCATAACGTATACATGGGCAGTTCTGACGCTTTCCTCGCCGTCGAGTGCCCATGAGTCATACTCGGTGAGTTCAACACCGTTTTTAAATCGGTCTCGTCGAGGGGCTCACACCGCCCCAACTCCGTAAATGTTTTTCTTCATAACGACAAATAATGCAGCGATTCCAGGCGCCTGGCTCCCAAGGCCAGTTTTGTGGGAGGATTGGGTCTGAGTATCTCTAACGGAACTTGAGGGGTTCGGACCAACCGTGCCTGCACCCATGACGGGGTGTCTTCGTTTTCTAGAATCAAGGAAGGTTGGGTGTGACATCGCCCGCTGCCTAGGTACTTGGCGCTTGGTACCGATCTACGGGCGTTCTTCGGGGATTTCGAGTACACAAGAAGACCAGAGGCATGGTACCGGGATGATGTGGCGGAGCCCCCTTCTATCACGGGCAAGGGGAGCACACGCGAGACCTAAACCCAACACTGGATTAAGAGCCAAATCTGGAAGGGAGGGGCGAGGGGATACTAAATCCTACCACCATATACTTTGATCAGGGTGGCCACGCAGAGTATGTTTGCCACCAGCACGCGATGTCTTCGGCTATTGGGACGCGCAACTTCTTTCACCAACGGTGGCCTCGTTTTCATGTACTCGATCTAGATATGCTCTGCAGGGCCTCTGGTCTTTCGTGTATGGGTGAGTTAGAGACTGTAAGATCCCGTCCCTTGTGCGTGAGTCTTGCCCCGTGCTGAAGCATATAGTTGATGGTGCAAAAGGATTGAACAACACACGGGAGAACAGAGTTTCCGTTCACTGCTCGGGTCATGACACAACCGTTCTGGTCATGACGGGGTCCCCACTCCACACCCTCGCAGTAGATATGTGAGGGTGTCAAGTTGTTGTTGTTGTTATTGTCTTAACATTAAAAACGGTTCTGATCTCTCTACCCAGTATCTTCATCTGTCCGTACTGATCAAACACTTGACCGGTCGATTCCCGTGGTAGTCTAACTTACCCTAAACAGATATACTCAATTGGATGTATCATGACCGAGCGAAAGATAACCTTTCATCTCCCACGCACAATTCACCCCTTGCACCGTAAAGCATAAAACCCCAACAAAGCAGAGGGGAGCAACACCCACGCACCGGGGGCGGGGCCCTGCAGTCTATAACTCACACATCTCCAACATCCCTCAGGCCCCGGAAGAACTACATGTAGATCGAGTACACCAAAATGAAGCGTTCAGAACGATATGGTCTCCCAACTCGGCCGATACTACACCATCCTCGTGTAGAGATGAAAGACCCCATGCATACAACGAATGCATGATGAGCATGAATTTGGATCGCCACTTACAGCGATGATCGTAGTCTGCCTGCGAAACATGGCGAAAAT